TAGCGTTTTGTAAATCCCATTGAGTTCTGTCGGAATAGTCAATATTCCCCTGCCACCGGAAACGGAAATGGGGCCTGTTTACACAGTTGTAGTCTTTTCGCTTCACTCTGTGTACTCCGACGTCGAGAATCAAGAATCCACCTTTCGTATTCCATTTTCAGAGTTTTTTAAAGTGTTTAACAGAGACGTTAGCACCTCGATGACAACTAAACAAATACCATTAAAACAATAAAGCATCAATAATCTAAAACAAATATAAAATAAAACATTTATAGAGAGCAGGCAGTTTTCAAAATATAGGTTTGAGGTGGCTTTTAAACGGGGAGAGTGATCATGCGGTTTTCAGGAGGCGCTTGATTCCACAGCTGAGGTTGCAGAACAGGAAAAAGCTCTGCCACACACGGTCTTGACCTACAAATTGAAGTGGATGACCAGACAGAGTGAGTGGGGATGTGAATATGAAAAATTAATAAGGCAGGGCATAGTTATGGAAAGGCCTTGAAAGTAAGGATGATAACTTATATTAGATCCTTTATTGGATGGGAAGTCATCATAGCTGTTTTTGAATAGTTATAATATGCTTAAAGGGGAAGGTGCAGGTGATGATAATGGCAACATGATTCTGAACCAACTGAAGTTTACTGATGTTTTTTGTTGGAGGGAGTTATAATAGTCAAGATGGGACATAACTAGGACAGCGGTGCTGGAAACTAAAGGAAGGACAAAGGCGGTTTGTAGAGTGAAGGTGGAAATACTGTAGAGAGGGTGAATAATGTTGTTTATGTGGGACTTAAAGGAACGGGGCTCTTAAAGATGCCACTGAGACATTTTACCCGGAGAGAAAGGGAGATTGAGGAACTGTCAATAGTTCAAGAAAAGATATTGGATGTAGAGATAGTTGAAATTCTACCAATTATGAGAATTTAATTCAAGAAAGTTTGCAGGGAACCAAAAGGTAATTGCAGAAAGGCAAGAATAGCTGTGAGTATGGAGTAATGTGGTAGATGTCATCGCATAGCAGTGAATCTTGATATTAAAGTGGTAAAGGATGAAGCAGAGAGGGAGGAGATAATAATTTTTTAAAAAGTGGGCCAAGTAGAGATCCCTGAGGGACGCCGGAAGTAACAGTTTAAAAAATGTTAATTGTATATGTTTTTTTTCTTCCAATTCCTGAATTTTAAAAATTAATAGAACTTTTAAAACTACAGTACAGCAGTCTTTTGTTGTAACACTGTATGTCAATATTTAAGATTTGCACAAATATGCACCAATACAAGTTTGATTTATAAACCTAATCCTAAAATATGGGTATAAATACTTTGCTTTAGACCTCATTTTGGTCTAATTCAATTTATTTGGTATTTAACTTCTTTTTTCAATCTTATTTGAAAAATTGCAGTAATGAAAGTAAAATATTTATCACATTTCCTGCTGACGTTTGTCTTTATGTGAATTTAAACTTTGGAATGGCTGTTTTAGATATGTCAGTAAATATTCATTTCAGGCTTGTTCTGACTGATCTGGAAAAACAAAGGATCTTCTAATGTTTGACTTTATCTGTGTATGCAGATATGCAGCAGCGGTGCAGGACGGCTCTCAGTACTTTGTCCTCCTAATCATCACAGATGGTGTCATTTCAGACATGGCCCAGACCAAAGAAGCCATCGTAAATGTAAGAAGTCAAGACAATTCTTTGTTCTTTTGTTAACCATATGAGTCTAAACCAAAATAAAGGGGATTCATTTATATTTTCTTAAAGAACACTTGAATAAATGGGGCAAATATAAAGAGTAGACGCCTCATGGGCCGCTATTACCTATTGGTGCTGTCCAGCCGTAGGGGTGCAATCCTGAAAAGGGTGGCTTGCTTCACTCAGTTTAACTGTATTTGGCAGCACAGTAAATCAACTATAACTCGCTGAATACTAAATCTATACTAAAAATGATAGAAAAGTGATTACCATTGCATTATGGGAAAGTTGTGGCCTAGTGGTTAGAGCATTGTGCTTGTGCTCTGAGAAGGTTGCAAGTACCCGGTTTGATCCCCACAGCCTCCACTCTGGGTTCCTGAGCAAAACCCTTAACCCCTGATTGCTCCTTGGGCGCCACACAATGGCAGCACACTTCCCGAGGGGGTGGGTTAAATGCAGAGAGTGAATTTCCCCATTGTGGGACAATAAAGGGATTTTACATTACATTACATTTACATAAACATGTATAAGCTGTATACATAAGCACAAAGAACTAAACCTGTTGTAGTGATTAATTATATCTATCCAGTCATACAGTAGATATATAGGTTGGGTATATGGGTAAACACCTTCACCATTTATAATATATAAATACTACTGTCATTAGAAGACATTTTTTAAGTGGACATAAATGCATTAGTATTTTAATTTAAAAAGAATCAAAAAAGTGTTGTTTCTTTTTTTTAAAGTTATCAATGAGTAGTCCATTAACTTGATTAAAAACATGCAGCACAGTGCTGAGGCATCCTACAATGTTTTATTTAGTTTTTAGCTCCAAGATGATGGCTGTTATTCATATGCTGCAGCCGTCAATGTAGCGTCTACTTTTTATTAAGTCTAGACACAATGTATATGTGGATAATTTGCTGGAAAAAAATGTTATTTGATCAAACATGACAGGATAAACTGACAGCTAAAGCTTTATACTATATTTTTATGAACTATTATCATTTACAAAAAAGGTTGAGAGAAAAAGATGTAAATTATTCTATAAAAATGTGTCATTAGTCCAATACTTTTAATTCATGCTAAATAACTGGACATGCCTATTATAGAAAGAGTTACTTTAGCTTTTGTGGCTCTTTATAATATGAATAATATTACTTTACTAGATTGAGATTAGATCAACCAATACCTTTTTTTTTTAGGTTGATGCCAATGCTGATTATTTTGACACCAGTCTAACCAATCCCCTGATATGTACTTCCAATATTTTTACAGCCAATATTGCTGTTTCATCATCCAATTACATGACAACAGTGACAGAATGATAGCAAATATAAGACAAATTCCAATGTTAACAGAAAACAATGATTTAGTAACAAACAAAATATTAACTACAAAAAGCACTTGGAGAAGACAGACCTCCACCAAAGAGCAAATTTTTCCCGTTGTGACTTTTTTTTATAGCAAAAACTCACACGATTTGGATCTAAATGTTCTGCTCTTACCTTTATTCGCTCTGCACTCTTCTTTCTTGTTTTATCAGTAGATCGACACCTCCAGCGAAGCATGGCTCACCTGCAATGTAATGCTTTTGGACTTGGAGTCCCAAGCTGCTAATAGTCACTGCTGCCACCCTCTGGTTTATAGGGGCTTGTTCCACCAAAGAATCCTTTTAAAAATTCAAGCATCCGGATCATGATCTGGATCATCACCAAAATTTAAGGGATTGTTCCTCGACTGAGGTGCACCTTTGGTAAAAATGCTATTGAAATGTATTCTTAACTTTTCAAGTGATCCTGTATACAGAAGGACAAAAAAACACAGAATCTTGACTAAAGACTTGGTGGAGGCAACAATTGATGGGTAATGAGGGGGGCAGCAATGCATGCGCTTCATGTGATCTCAAGGCTTTGCTGCTGAATGCACTAACTAAACTAATGCATGCATGTATTGGCTGGTACCCATACAAGGAAAAATATCGGCCAAAAATATCAGCTGGACGATGTATGTCTGATTGTGATATGAAGGTTTTTAAACCTCTGAGCTTTAAAATCTTGGGCACAATCATTCAGATGGATTAATCAGTTGGAGGGGAACAAAAACTGCTGAACATCTTATTTCCAAGCAAAAGATGGCTGTCATAAATAATGTATATAAGATAAGATATTATATAAGATATAAAATAAATAATATATGTAATAAATGGAAATTCAATATTCTATATTTTACTACATTTTCCAGGTCCTTTGAAACTTTGAAATCAACTAATATTGTTTAGACAGTATATATTGTGCATCCTTTATGTAAAAAATCTAATTGCTATTGAAAACTCTCATTTTCCAATGTTCTCTTAAGAAAGAGTACACATTTGTTAGTTCAATTAGGGTGCTACCAAAATAGAATAGGAATGATAGCAGTAGTGTAAACCTTAAAAAAGTATCTTTTAAAAAACAGAAGTAGAAGAAAAAGGCTAGCTTGTAAAACACTTAATGTAACACTTAATATGTTTTACATTTTTGACCTTTTTATTCTTCTTGTTTTTTGTTTTCTCTTTTTTGTAGTTCTATTTGTTTCAGCTTAAAAGTGAAATACTGCTAATGTAGAGCTAAGTATATACGGTTTTTAAGGTCATTTTTATTTGATCCTTCCAAAAACAGTTAAAAACAAACCATTGAACTTTATTTTCCAAGTTTGAAGACGTTTCACTTTGCATCCAGAAAGCTCTCTCGATTCATAGTTTCTAGATTAGCGTTGAGCTCTCGGCTTTATAGAGTAGCCCAATTATGGCTTTGAAAACATGCAAATGGAACCATAGACAGGTCCACTCCTTTGTAAAGAGAGTCATTAGGGTCGTTGTTGGCCTGGCTTAACAGGCACAATGTTTTGACTACCTGCATGGCGATGAAGAGTGAAGTGATAGTGGGAAGGAATAAATGCTATCGCAGAGTAATACGTTTTTGAGAGCTTAAACTTGAGTCCTCCCCTCTGTTTTTGATTGATTTTTCTCTCTTAACGTAAATGGCCTCCTTCACACCCTTTTCAAACCACTTTTTTTTTAATTTGATCATTCTTATCTGTACTTAGGATGGAATATGTCTTTTGGCCAAAAAAGAAAAAAATATCCTTAAATTTATGTTAACATCACAGGTTAATGTGTCTAAATTGATGCAGGCAACAGGTCATAACAAAACCCTAATTAAACATCATTTGTTCTAAAATGTTTGTCTGTTGATAGAAAATAAGGACCTGAATGTAAGATTATCGTTAATTTTTTATATTTACTTTAAAATACACTGCAGCCTACGTTCATTCCTAACAGTGTTTGTCTTAATATGAAGGAAACTTTTACATTTTATCACTATTTGAAAATGTTTACTCACTAAGAGAGCAAGAATACCAAACTGACATTTAAAAGCAAAGAGAAAAACAGGTAACTCACGGATAGAAAAAGCTAAAACTGATTATTAGCTTTGGATTCCAACATTCCTTAGTTTTGTATTATTTTCAAATCATTCCAGACAAGACAGAGGCTCTGCCACATAAACAGTTGTTCTGCAATATGCAGAGAAAAAGCCCTAAAGCAGTGGCTTTATTTAACAGTGCAAAAAGTTTTAAAAGCAATAGAGTTGGTTTATTACCTTCTTACCAAACAAAATATGTTATAGGTGTTGGAAAGTTGCCACTGTCACTATGAATATGGAATAAAAATAAATCTATTCCCCAGGGGCTTTCCTGAACCTGTCATCAGTCTTTTTTCTCTGTCTTTGGGCTGTAAATAGCAGATGTGTGTGCCACTCCTTTCTTTTTCTTTAGTGTCTCCCTCTACCCTCCGCTCTTCCTGCTCCTCCTCAGATCAGCTCCTCCTCAGACCTCGGCTCTTCCTGCTCCTCCTCAGCCAGGCACAGGCACAGAACACCCAGCAGACTGGATTTAAAGGGAATTTGCGACTGTTAATCAAAACATTAGAACAGCCACACCTTCCTTTTAAGATCTTGCCTGCTGCTCTGTCTCACAACCTCCAGCCCTGTGGAGTCCTGATGCTTCCTGCTTCCACTCTTCTTTTGTTTTGTTTTTTCCTGTCCGCTTCTCCTGGATGACAGAAAACATGTTACTGAGGGTATATGTGTGTTTTCCTTAAACTATATAATGCCTGATATCATGTTTCTAAAAACAGCAGAGAAACAGGTTAAGGAAATAAAAAGTGCTCCATTCTTCTTAACCATCTCAGGCCTTCAGTGTTTTGAGATTTGAGCATGAGGGTGTTTTATTAGTGCTTATAGAGAGAAAATTAACACTTTCAGGCTCTATCTTTATTCACATCTAGGTTTTCTTTCCATCCTAATGTTCTTTATAATTGTGAAATCATAGGATCCATTTATTCAGTGGGGGTTTGTTGGCTCGGCATTTGATCAGAGCCAGATCAGAAATCAGAATTTTACACATACGCTTTCTATTTTTTTACTTTCTTATCTTCACTGTTATTTTTCTATTGTTGTTTCATCTCTCTTATTATTAGGATTTGTCAATTGCGCATCACTTCAGAAACCTTTAACTTTATTGCCATTGTGATGGGAAAATAATTACATATCATTTGCAAAGAATACAGTCTGTTCTATGATTAAAGGTATAGTGGAGGATGTTCTTTTTCCAGGCGGATCATCAAAAAAAGTGGTTCTCCTAATTGTCAATCATTCTGGTGAAATGTCAGGCCGTCCTACGTGCTTGTCCCCATTTTCACTTACCGGTGGTAAGTATGACATAGTGGAAAAATTGCAAATCTTCATTCGGAAAGTACAGTAAGCTTGTATGAGCGATGCAAACAGCAACTTTTAAACAACACGTGCACGAGGAGAAATTGGGCACATGTATGCTCTTGTGTGTAATAAGTGCTCGCTCTTGGGAACGGGTACAGGGTAATGCTTGGGCCTTTTCAAACATTTGCAAAAATCCTCCATTATACCTTTAAGTTAACCCTG